AGACATGCAAGCTCCACCCCCCCAGTTGTTCTTAGACTCCTTATTGGGTGAGCAACGCAGCCAAGCAACACGGTTGGCGCCTCCCTGCTCCCTGGCCAGCAGGGAGGGAGGTAGAGGAGCTGCTTCCTTTGAAACCCGGGAAATTTAAGGGACATCATCAAGAAGGGACAGCAGTGGGACACGGCGCTGGGATAAGGGACTGTCCTGCCAAATAAGGGACGCTTGACAGCTATGCTTCAGCCCCAGTCAGCATGGGGGCTGGTGTTGGCTGGAGTCCCAACATCTGGAGAGCCACAAGTTCTCTGTCCCTGTTTTAAACTTGTTTCATACGGGACAGTTGTGAGGTCCAACAGTTGGAGGAGCACAAGCAGGTGCAGGTCATACTTCTTGCCAGTCGAGCCCAGTACTCTCTACTCATTCGCTTGATAGCTCGGTTGACTAGAGCGTAGTGCTGATAACGCCAAGGTTGCAGGTTTGATCCCCAGAGGAACAGCTGCATATTTCTGCATTACAGGGGGTTGGACTAGATGATCCTTAGGGTTCCTTCCAATTCTATTATTCTAATGGACAGCAGCTGTCCAGGGTCTTGGGTCCAGAAGTGTTTCTCATGACTTGTTACCCGATCCCATTAACTGGAAAAAAATAGACATTGAGCCTTCATGCAAAGTTTCTGATCTAGCCTGGACCGTAAACTACACATGTGCCATACCACCTTCCACAACCTGGGGTTCTCTAGATGTTGTTGAGCTACAATTTCTGCCAGACCCAGCCAGCATGACCAATACTCAGGGATGGTGCGAAGGCTAACAGAAGCTACTGTAGCATTCAGTGCTTTATTGATAGGCCAGTTTGGAAGTGATTCTTTGAAAGCAGAAATGCGCGCTCTCTCTCTCTCTCTCTTGAATATTTTATTAGTTGAATATAAGAACAACATATAATCAAATACAAGCATTCAAATACAGTGGTACCTCGGGTTACATACGCTTCATGTTACATACCCTTCAGGTTACAGACTCCGCTAAGCAAGAAATAGTGCTTCAGGTTAAGAACTTTGCTTCAGGATGAGAACAGAAATCGTGCTCCGGCGGCGCGGTGGCAGCAGGAGGCCCCATTAGCTAAAGTGGTGCTTCAGGTTAAGAACAGTTTTTCAGGTTAAGAACGAACCTCCGGAGCGAATTAAGTACTTAACCCGAGGTACCACTGTACAGTTTCCCCCTGCCTCCCCCCCAACAGCCCCAACTATGTTCAGGTAATTACATTAGTAATATAATAAAAAAAAAAATTACTTCTACAGTTGCTGGTTTAAAAAATATCAGTCCATATGCTCCCATGGGTCTTAGGTGGTTTAAATGCATGTTCTTTCTTTGATGCATATGTAATAAAGGAGGACCACGTTATGTAAGAGTTATGTAGTTTCTCACGTTTTCTTTCACGTACCTTTTCTGTTAATTTTTTGTCAAAATTAATTCCCAGACATAAGCATACCAAACTTCATATAGGTTCATGTTTAATGTCCTTCAGTTTCTAGCAACAGCAAGACGTGCTGCAGTTATAAGATGCACAATTAAGTCTTTGTCTCTAAGATTTTGTGCTTCATCTGCAAATATAGAAAGCAATGCTATTTTTGGATCTAAATTGATCGATTCAGATGTAATTTGTTCCATTTCCTGAAATATTTTTAACTAGAAGTTTTTAATCAATGGGCATTTCCACCACATGTGTATAAATGCTCCTTCATTCCCACAATTTCTCCAACATTGCAGAGAAATATTTTTGTCTATTTTGCTTAGCAATGTGGGATACAAGTACCATCTGTGGGTTAGCTTATTCAGGCAGAAATAGCTCGAAAGGGGGCTTTTTGCCACATTCCTTCTCATGAACCATCATCAATCCCTTCTCCCAAGTCTCTTTCCCATCTAGTCTTCAACATGGAGGGCTTTGAGGTTGAGAAATTTACAATCGCTTCATAGATTAAAGCAAATAGACTGAAGTGCTCTTTTGTAACCAAACCTCCCTCAAACCTCTTCATAGCATTTGTTTTAGAATGCTGAAAATGTCAAACTGTTTAATGTCCCCCCCCACCCATTAACTGGAATTTGATTAGTAATAATAATAATAATAATAATAATAATAATAATAATTTATTATTTATACCCCGCCCATCTGGCTGGGCTTCCCCAGCCACTCTGGGCGGCTTCCAAAAGAATATTAAAATACATCAAACATTAAAAGCTTCCCTAAACAGGGCTGTCTTCAGATGTCTTCTAAAAGCCTGGTAGTTGTTGTTCTCTTTGACATCTGGTGGGAGGCTGTTCCACAGGGAAGGCGCCACTACCGAGAAGGCCCTCTGCCTGGTTCCCTGTAACTTGGCTTCTCGCAGTGAGGGAACCGCCAGAAGGCCCTCGGTGCTGGACCTCTGTCCGGGTAGAACGATGGGGGTGCAGACGCTCCTTCAGATTAGGAGGTGCTGCTCCAAATTTTGGTGTAGCCTGGGCTGCAAGTGCAAATATTTTGAGGTGGGGAAAGAGAGGAGCTGCTCCTCCTCTTCCACTGGTTATGGCATGGAAGCAATGGAAACTACTAAGGCACTGGAGACTACTACAGCTTCTGCTATTTACTCATTTAGCATGATGATAACATTCTTCAATTATTAGAAAATATAATGAGCAATAGAGTTCCCTTGAGAATATTTGCATGGATTTAAAATGGTTTTTCACATCTTATTGGGGAGATCCATCTTTGCTAAGGAACTGGCAACTCTTAGAGTACCCATCCAAATGTTTTTGTCATGGAAGGATTTCTTATATCATTTAATGTCAACCCAGATGGAGATTCATCATAGGGTTGTTTCCTCTTATTCATCATTCTGTCAGAACAATCATATCGCTGAAATTATGATTTCACATTGAGTGGGTTTTTTCCCTTTGTGTGCAGAGCTGACCTCTGATAGAAATGAATGAAAAAGTTTTTGCTGCAGTAGGGAGTGGGCAGGAAGTTTGGAAATGTATATTAGTTTGCCATTTCTTCAGATGATTGACAGGATGGGAGAATTAGACACTGCTTCTTGGCTACAATCCAACACACAGTATGGAAATATGTAGCAATTAAACAGAAGAAAGCAATCTTTCATTCTCCATGAAATTCTATACAGTGGTACCTCTGGTTGCGGACACGATCTGTTCCGGGGTGCCGTTTGCCCCCCGAAAGGTCCATAACCAGAGCGGCGCTTCTGCGCATGTGCAAAGCGTGATAGAGCGCTTCTGTGCATGGGTGAACCGCGCAGAACGCTTCTGCGCGTGTGCTTGCGGCAAAACCCAGAAGCAAACACTTCCGTGTTTGCTGTATTCTTAACCCTAAAAAACACAACATGAAGCGTTCGCAAGAAGAGGTATGACTGTATTGTAATTTCATTGGCAAAGAGATGTTGAACCTATGGTTCTCCATATGGTGTTGGACTCCATCTCCCATCAGCTGCAGCTAGCCTAGACAGTTATCAGGGATGATGGAAGTTGGCGTCCTACTAAGATCTGGATGACCTCAGGTTCCCCATCCTGCTTTAAGAGATTTTGTGACGGCTGTGGAAGTTCATTGGCTGAAATCCCAGAAAGGTGCAGCAGCAGGTGGTCTTGGCCATTGGCTGACTTGCTTAATCCTGAAGCACCCCAATGCATGACACCAACCCAAATAGTGGTGTGCTTTGCCAGGCAGATTCAGAATGCTAAGTTTGTTCATGCTTTGATTCATTCTGGTTTTAACATAATCTTAAGGCAGCCCTGTTCAGGGAAGTTTTTAATGTGTGACATTTTAGTGTATTTTTGGTCTCTGTGAAAGCCGCTCAGAGTGGCTGGGAAAACCCAGCCAGATGGGCGGGGTACAAATAATAAATTATTATTATTATTATTATTATTATTCAGATTTGTACATCCTTGTTTTGTTTTAATCATTTTAACAAGTAATAATCTTTCATTTTTGAAAAAGGTGATTTGTTTGGGAATTTTAGCATTCTGAGTTTGTTCATGTTGGGGAGAGGAAGTCACTTCCTCCACTTTCCTTCTCTTCTCTCTTGGTGGTTGTGAGGATTGGGCCAAGAAAGGAAGAGAGAGGAAGGAAAACAGGCAGAAGTAGTGAGGAGGGGCTCACTTAGAGCGGTGGGCACCTGAGGTGGGCATCTTGCCCAATGCCCCACCCCCCAAAAAACCTTGCCGCTCATACTAGTACATAGGGAGGAGTTAGTATTCCAAAAAGGGGCTCATGCCTGATTCTCCAAACTGCACTTTGAAGGATCAGAAACATTCTGCCGAAACATCTCATATTGTTGGAGTCTTTGAAGTGATGACATCAAAGTAGCTTGGCTTTGGGGGGGGGGACTTGCCAAGATTTTCGTATTTATTATTAATAATTACCTTTATTTTCTGCCCCATGACCCAGTGGACTATTCTAGAGTGTACCGGTTTTCCTAGACACCTTATTTGCCCTTAACAAGTCTGCAAGGAAAGGATGAGGAGGAGGGAGTAAAGGAGCGGAGACCCATCTTTAAAAAAACAATCAGGCTTTGTAAGGTTTCATTCCAGGCTAATGGCTGGTGAAATTGTTCCGGGTAGTTAAAATGGAATGAAATGAATTAAAGAACATGAAAGGGAGCAAGCTGGATACTTTATTGCTTTTCTTTGAAGGCCCAATAGCTGCTTGGTGTGTGTGTATATATAACTGTGTCAGATATTTAAAGTCCAGTTCTTGAGGACTGGGGCTATAAATCCAAAGCTATGGTGTACCATTCAAATGAGGGCAAGTACTCAAAACACACACACACCTCACACGCTAACAACACTGAAACTTAAAGTAGCATTTTGACCAACGAATGTAAACATAGGCATTTACCTTATACCAGGTTATGCTTTTTGCTCACTTAACTCAGGATTGTCTTCTTTTGACTGTTGCCTACCTGCAGCCCTGGAGAGGTACTAAGTCCCTCCCATCACATATTACCTGACCTTCTTCACTGCAGATGCCAGGGACTGAACCTGGGACTATTTGCGTGCAGAGCATATCCTCTGCCGCTGAGGCATGATTCCTGCAGAGATCAGCGCTCAAAATACAGAGGACACCTGGGTCTAGCATGCTTAACCTTTTGTGCCCTGCCCTTCTTAGCATTGCATCATTACCTGAGGCTACCTTACCTGTGGATGAGGTGCCGAGAAGCCAGAACATGCTAAGCAGCTCTAAACCATGGTTTGGCCCCTCTCTTTGGGAAGTTCAAGCCATGGTTTGGGATTCTAAACTGTGGTTATTGTAAACCATGGCATTATGTCTAAATTATTTCACCCTTCCAGAATTCTGAGATTTTGGCTGACATTTTCATCATGCCTTAAAGTATATATCATAAGAACTAGTGACCTGAATGCCAGTTTTTAGAACATAGTATTCTGTTTCATATACCACATGGCTGTGCTCTTGGGGAATTACTGCAAATGTAGTGTCCTGGTAAGGGGCACGGATGGTGCTGTGGGTTAAACCACAGAGCCTAGGACTTGCCGATCAGAAGGTCAGCGGTTTGAATCCTTGCGACGGGGTGAGCTCCAATTGCTCGGTCCCTGCTCCTGCCAACCTAGCAGTTCGAAAGCATGTCAAAGTGCAAGTAGATAAATAGGTACCTCTCCGGCGGGAAGGTAAATGGCGTTTCCATGCGCTGCTCTGGTTTGCCAGAAGTTGCTTAGTCATGCTGGCCACATGACCCGGAAGCTGTACGCCGGCTCCCTTGGCCAATAAAGTGAGATGAGCGCCGCAAACCCAGAGTCGGTCACGACTGGACCTAATGGTCAGGGGTCCCTTTACCTTTACATAGTGTCCTGGTAGTTATTATCTACATAGAAAGAACTGTGGGTAAGAGTGGACACCAATTGGTTCGCCTGCTGATAGATTTTGGCTTGAGGATTTTGCCAGAACTGATTTCTCCCCACCCCCAACTTTCTCCATGGAGGAAAGAATATTACCCAGGAACTAGTCCTTATTTGCTGCCTCAGCAAATCTTATAACATTTCCCTTTTTCTTTTTAGTTTGTGGTTTTTTCCCTTTAAGTCTCCTGCCTAGAAACCTCTGAAAGGTGACTTCTCTCCCCACCCCTCCTCATGCACCATCCCTGCTGAGAGCTAAAGAAGCCCTCCCTCCTCCCAAACAGGGCAAGGGATAAGGGAGCTTAAAAAGCACCTGGTATGTGCAGGCTTTTTTTTTTTTAACACAGCTGCAAAAATAAAGTGTCCTATCAGGTTGGGGTCACATTTGTCTAAGAAAAACTAACAGGAGTATTTCTTTTGTCAACACGGGAGATGAGCAGGATGATAAGGGCAAATTATACTCCTCTGATCTGTCCCTCTTAGAGAAGTGACTGGAGATTAAAGCCTCGGTCTGGAATTTCAATACATCTATGCATTTTTCATGGAAGACAATGTTTGTCAAAATTGCTGGGAAAGAAGGGTCAGAATTTTTCATGAAAAAGCCACATTGTTTTTCTCTCTCACTTTCCTCTGAGCCGATGTGCATGGCTTAGTAGGTTTGGAACAAAAAATGCAACCAACTCTTTCCCCACTTAACGGATGTTTTAATTGTGCCTTTTTGCTCTTCCCTTCCTCAGAGTAAGGGTTCGTCCACACTTACTTTTTGCCCACCGCTTTCTAGTCATTCTAGACTTTCCCAGTCCATGTATGAGGACTTTCTGCAACTTTCCCCAGGAAAACCTGATCTTTTCCACTGAATCGGAGCAAATGGCAATTCAGGAGCCTGAGGATTATAAGTACACCACGTTTTCCATTTTCCCGTAAAACATTGGAAGAGTATACAGTAGTAGTTACTCTCTCACTGAGGAGGGTATTAAATCAGTGGTGGCTGGCCTGGGGACCTCCCGATGCTGATGGACTACAGCTTCCATCATCTCTGACCATGGGCCAGTCCATTAGTGGTCAGTGGGGTGGTTCATTCAGGGCAGCCTTGCTCACTTACCTTTCCAACACTATCACTGCTGGTTCCTGAGAGGATGAGGTGGAGAGAGAGCTCAGTGCAGGTACAGCAGTGGGGCTAATCTGATATGATTATTCATCATCATCATCATCATCATCATCATTTTCTATTACCCTAAGGTCCCAGGGTAGGTTACAACATCAAAACGCAGTATTAAGTTCAGTTTAAAACAACTTAAAGGTAAAGGTAAAGGTACCCCTGACCATTAGGTCCAGTCGTGGCCGACTCTGGGGTTGCAGCGCTCATTTCGCTCTATGGGCCGAGGGAGCCGGCTTTTGTCTGCAGACAGCTTCCGGGTCATGTGGCCAGCATGACTAAGCCGCTTCTGGTGAACCAGAGCAGCGCACGGAAATGCCGTTTACCTTTCCGCCAGAAAGGTATTTATCTACCTATTTATCTACTTGCACTTTGACGTGCTTTCGAACTGCTAGGTTGGCAGGAGCTGGGACCGAGCAACGGGAGCTCACCCCGTCACAGGGATTCGAACCGCCGACCTTCTGATCAGCAAGTCCTAGGCTCTGTGGTTTAACCCACAGCGCCACCACACAACTTACAATCACAGAAATATGGCGCATCCTAAAACTGGGGGTACTATTCAGTGTTGTTTATATTTGAGTAGACCCACTGAAGTGCAGGTGGGCAAGTCCATGGATCTCAGTAGTAAATGTAAAATTTACTATGCTTGAGTAAATCTTGGTTGGCTATAACTCTGAAAACATGGACTTCCCCCTCGGTGTAATCCTGATTTGAGGCATGCATGAGAAACACTTTTTTTTTTAAAACGTCAGCAGCAACATACACATTTTGACATTTCTGAAACTTTGAATCAGTGTGACTGTAAAAATATTTATCGTGATTCAGCTTCAAAAGCTGCCATTGATTTTAAAATATGGCAGGAATATTTATGTAATGGAAAAAAGCTGTATTTCGGCTTGTGTTTACTTTAATAAAACAGCTCGCTGCTTTCCTCTGATAGTATCTAGGCTTGGATAAAGGAGCGATAATTGGTCGAGGAGCGTAATGAAAGAGGGGCCTCTTGTCTTATCTAACATGGCAACATGGCATTAATCAAAATATCAGCACTAAAAAAAGTGGAAATGTTTCCTTTGAATTTCATTGAATGTGTGTGATTTTGGGGTGGGGCGAAAGTGGTTGAGTTTTATATTAGGTTTTTCTTTTTTCATTTTCAGCTTTTATCTTTTCCTAAAAAAAAACCACAAAAAACCACTTGTACAGTTCAGATTGTAGTTTAATATTATGGGAATAAGCCCTGCAGTCAAATGCCATGATACCTTAGTGGTACTTACAGTTTGTGGGGAGAATACGTTCCGTGCAAACCATAGTTTGCCTAGTTCAGAAGTAACCATGGGATAATGACAAAGTTTTTATCATTAAACTTGTCCATGTAGTGCCAGCCCTGCTGTTGGGCATCAGTGTGAAGTGACCTGCTTCAGCAATCACTTAGGGCAGGATAGATGAAGGCAGGAATTGGTGTCCGAATGCTGCATGGAATACTTTCTTTTCACATGTTTGGCCTCGCTGGGACTGCCATGGTGCATTTTCATCACAGCTGAGTAATTACAAGAGCCAGCTGCCCATCTGATTTTCTCTTCCTTCCATCATCAGGGATGTTTATATGTAGCTGACCACTGTACATTTTGTGGTAGAACTGGACTCAACAGCTGATTGCTACTTATTATTATTATTATTATTACTACTACAATTTATTACATGCCCTTTACATTAAGGTACCAGGGTGTGTTACAACAATTAAAACACAACATTGATTATTATCATTATTATTTTTGGAAAAGTTTTTCTATTATTTCGTTTTATAATGTGTATAAAGCAGAGAGAACAAGTATAAACAACAACAGACAGAAACTAAAAGATGAAAAAACAAAGCTGTAAAATAGTTACATAGAAAGAGTAGTTGCCCATGAGTTAAAATAACCAACTTTATCTGTCAACTTTATCAGATCATAAAGTATAGCTATGCTCCAGATTTGTGAGGCTTGTGACAAGGTTTGTCTTGAAACTATACAACATTAATATTAAGACACAGTATTACAAAATAGTTTAAAAACAACTTCAAATTCCTCCAAACACTTGAAATCACTGGTGAGCTATCAAATCTAGATTTGTGAACCCCTGTTGAGATGAGATGCTAGAACAAATGTCCCCCAACATGGCACCTTCTGGATCTTTTGGACTGCAGCTCCCATCACTCCTGCCAACGTGGCGATGGGAATTGTAGTCCAGCAACATCTAGACCAAGTCACATTGGTTGCAGTATGCTGTGATCTTACAGCAGTGTGTATGGCCGTAATAGCCATATTTATTTTGTTTACTTAAAAGTATTTTTTGTCCTGCTCTTCAGCCAAAGAAAGGCTCCTAGATGGGTTTGCAAACATTTCGAAACCTGGGGATTAAGATCCAAAAAGCATGGGCATCAAAGGGGAACGGATTAGGAGAGAAGAGGAGAAAAGAAAACTCCAGGCACCAGTTCTTCTTATTCATTTATTAAATTTCTATACCACCTTCCATCTGAGGATAACAGGGCGGTTTACAATATAAAACACAAAAATGCATAATTTAGTAACAAGCAGAAACAATTACATCCACAATACAATACAATACAATACAATACAATACAATACAATACAATACAACACAACGTTAGAGAGAATAGGTGACTTCTCTTCCCACTTCCTGCCACAGGAAGTCTGAACATTAGTTGGCCTTCCTTTGCAATTGCAATTAGCATTGATTGTCCTACCTTGTTGACATACCAGCCTACTTTCACTGAAAACCTTCAAGGAAGGAAGTTCTACAGACTCACTTAGCAGCTTGTTCTGCTCTGGCAGTGCAGTAACTGGGACAATCAACACTCTGCTTTGCCACAGCATAAGCATGAACCTTGCCATGCATGTGGCATGGTTCACCTGTGGGTTGCTTTCACCCCCAGTTTGGTGAAGACTTGTGTCAGGTCAAGACATTTTCTTGTCTGCAGAGCAGCACCAGACAAGAGCTACACACACACACACACACACACACACAGTGGAACCTTGGTTCCCGAATGCCTCTGTTGTACGTTTCGGTTCTCGAACGCCAAAAACCCGGAAATAAATGCTTCTGTTTTCGAACATTTTTTGGAACCCGAACATGCGACATGGCTTCCGCTGAGTGCAAGAAGCTCTTGCAACCAATGGGAAGCTGCGCCTCAGTTTTTGTACGTTTCGGAAGCTGAGCAGGTTTCTGGAACAGATTTCATTCGAGAACTGATGTACCTCTGTGTTTTGTGTGTGTGTGTTTTTGTGTGTAATGTACACACACACACACACACACACACACACTGGACCATAAATATTTATCTGCCCATTGTCCTAGGATAACATCTGTTGCATGTGTGATTTCACCCTTTATAGACCCACAAGCAGCCTCGTACTTGGTGTGGCTTAGGAAATCTAAGAAGCCAAAAATTCAGTGCTGTTTTGAAAGGCTAAGCCTACCATCTAGATTTAAAACCATGTTTAAAACTGCTCCTTGATCTCTGAAGCTTTCGTGCATAATTTGGTTGCGATAACTTAAGAGGTGTCCAAATACACAGAGAAGGAACAACTTTCCAAAATTCGTATTAGATTCAGTATTTAAACCAGCCATTGTTAGAAGTGCTTGTATTTCATTACGCATACCTTTTTAGAGTGATCCCCTCTCCCTGATTAGCTTGCTGTTTATATTTATTTTTACTCATGAAAAATTCAACAGATGGTGCTGGGTTAATTTTGTTGTAAATTAATCTTGCAGTTCACCGCCGGTCTTCTTTTTTTTTAAGGAGTTTAAAAGGCCACGAAGGCAAAAAAAAAAAGGGGGGGGGGAGAAGCTTGAACATGCTGTTAGGATATAATGTCACAGTTGAAATTCTACAGTATATTAGTGCAGTGGATTCACAGCCATTTCATACTGTATAAAGAGTTGTACAATATTGATCCTCCTAGATTATTACATTTGCTTTTAAAGGCAAATGAAGCATTAACACCTGGGCCCACAGCATTGATCATAACGTTGGCACTGTAAAAGCTTTCCCGCTGTTAGCCGACTTCCAAGGTAATAGGAACAACAGCCTACCTTTTTTTCTTAATTAGGTGATGGGCAGAACAATCTTAGGCACTAGTTTCACGGTGCATAAAGGATATGCCACAGCTGTAGTGATGGAGCAGTTTCTGTACCCAAGATGTGTGCTCTGCCTGGAAGGGAAAAACGCACATTCAGGCAATACATAAATGTTTGCGCTGGTATAAGTTGTACTGTCAACAGGGGGCCATGGATCATAGGTGTAGAGTAGGGTGGGGAAGTGGATCCTGCCAGCAGGCCAGATCCTTCACTTCCTGCTCACAAGTGAGCAGGGGCTGTCAATCACCTGGTGTCCCAAATGATGGCAGGTGCCCCCCTTTTTTTGCAAGGCTCTTTTGTGTTCATGCACTTTATATCCATTCACATTGCAAACAGGAGGCATCCCACACAAAGAAAAAGCTTGGACCTTGCAGTAGAAGGCCACATGTTGGATTTGGAACATAGGAAGCTGACATACCATTGGTCCATTTAGACCAGCTTTTTGTCTACACTGACTGGCAGTGGCTCTCCAAGGTTGTGGGTAATATTCTCTACAAGCCCTCCCTTGAGACACCAAGGATCGAACCTGGAACCTTCTGTATGCAAAGTGTGTTTGTGCCATCATTGAGACACTGCACTTCCCTCATTGCGCTTCAAACACTGCAGCTAAAACAAAAATCTTATGCTATTCTTACCCCGTACTCTTTTCTACAGTGGTACCTCGGGTTAAGAACTTAATTCGTTCTGGGGGTCCGTTCTTAACCTGAAACTGTTCTTAACCTGAGGCACCACTTTAGCTAATGGGGCCTCCTGCTGCCACCACATGATTTCTGTTCTCATCCTGAAGCAAAGTTCTTAATCCGAGGTACTGTTTCTGGGTTAGAGGAGTCTGTAACCTGAAGCATCTGTAACCCAAGGTACCACTGTACTTTCTACTTTTCTACTTTCTACTCTGGCTCCATGCATTAGTTGTCCATGCATTTCTTCTTTTAGGAATATAGCAAGCTTATGCTGAGTCAGACCAATGGTTCCTGTAGCTTAGTATTGCCTTCACTGACTGGCAGCAGCTTTTCAGGGTTTCAGGCAGGAGCTCAGCCCAGAGATGCCTGGGCTTGAACCTGAGGCCTGATGTGTGCCGAGTGGATGCTCTGCCACTAAGCTGCAGTGGTCTTGTTCTGTAGGGCCAAAAAGGAGAGGGCCAAGGGAATAAGTGGATCCAAAGTACAAAGAAAACTACGTCGGCCTAGGAGCTGGCATAATTCACTTCCCTTTTTATTTCCTTTTCACTTAGAACAATGGGAGAGGGGAAAGTAAGAAAAGAAATCCTGGAAACAGACGGAGGGGGGTAAGAGCACTTGTCATCTCTTCCACCCTGCCTGTGAGAGCCCAGCAGTGTTGGATTATGCAGAAGGACTACGATTCGCTTCCTCCTCACAACCTTAGGTTTGCCATTGCAGCCTAGATGTCTCCTTTGAGAGGAGGTTTTATGAGGATGAAAACATAGCAAGAAGAATGTTTTTGTTTTTGTTTTTAAAAAAAGTTCAGTGGAAACTTCAATCCTTATTAAACAGGAAAAGAAAGCGAGGATAGAATTGCTCTCTGCTCTACTGGAGATGTGTCCTTCCTTCTTTCTTTAAAGCGATTCTTAGCAAAACCTCAGTTTGTAGCAGTTTGTTTAGCAAGAATGGCAGAGCTTACTGGGATTAAAGATGAAAAAGAAAGAGCTCGGGGAGGAGGCGCTATTAACACCCACGATGATGGGGCTGACAGATCAGACCAAAAGTGGCACCGGGGCAGAGAGGCATCAGCCCTCGTAATGGAGACATGTCTGGTGGAAAGATTGCTCTATCACAGTGATGGGTTCCTAGCATGTTATAAATCTAAGATTGTTTCTTTCCTGCCACAGAGATGAGCAGGCTCTTTCTCCCTTTCTAGGATGAAATGTCGGACCGAGACAAGGAGCTGAGATGAAAGCACCCCTCCACAAATAAAATAAAAAAAAGTGGCGAAAGTTATATTTTTAACATAAATCTTTTGTGGCAACTCTATTGGACCCTCTTGCTATCTGAAGGATTAAAGCTCTACTGTTCCACCTGGCCCTGGAGAGAGGGAGAGCTGGCCCTCTCTTTTTTACAGCCCTCTTGTGCATTTATGGTCACTAGGACATATCTATATCTATATATCATCTATATCTATATGGAAAAAGGATATATTTTGACATATCAGAAACCCCTAATTCTTGGGGCAAAATAAGCTTGCTGTCATCAAGCATCATCGTTACGCAGCGTGTTAGCGACCTGTTTTTAATTTTATTGGTAGGTACATATGAGTCATAAAGAGACGCAGGTGGCGCTGTGGGTTAAACCACAGAGCCTAGGACTTGCTGATCAGAAGGTCGGCGGTTCGAATCCCCACGACGGGGTGAGCTCCCATTGCTCGGTCCCTGCTACGGCCAACCTAGCAGTTCAAAAGCACATCAAAGTGCAAGTAGATAAATAGGTACCGCTCCGGCGGGAGGGCAAATGGCGTTTCCGTTCACTGCTCTGGTTCGCCAGAAGAGGCTTAGTCATGCTGGCCACATGACCCGGGAGCTGTACGCCGGCTCCCTCTGCTAATAAAGTGAGATGAGCGCCGCAACCCCAGAGTTGTCCGCGACTGGACCTAATGGTCAGGGGTCCCTTTACCTTTACCTTACATATGAGTCATACCATTGGTCCATCTAGCTGAAGATTGTCTATCCTGAGTGGAAGCGACTCCTTATGATTTCAGACAGGTAATGTTCCTGGTCTTGCCTAGATATTCTGTGTCTTCAATGTGGGATTTCCTGCATGCAAAGCAGATGCTCTACCGCTTATATAGCACACTTGTTCTCAAACCAAGGAGTGGCACCAACCTCTCTCCCTTCCCATATTACTCACGGACAAATGCCTGTCCAAGTGCCTGTTGTGCTGCCAAAGTGAGCACAACAAATGCCTGTCATATGTTGCTTGAGTTTACTCCGCCACAATGTTGTTTTGCTGATACTATTGCTTTCTAGCCCACCTTTCCTACAAGGTCTTAATGTAGCTGGGAAAACTTGCCCAAGACCTTAGCAAAACACTGTCGGTCAGAGTATGCCCTGGGTACTCGACTGTATAGGCCATTGATTTGACTCTTATTAGAGAATGTGCAAAATGCCTTCCTGTTGGGAATTCATAGCCATGGGTAGCCCCTGGTCTGCCACCCACATCGGTTTAATCTTGGGCGGGGGATTCTCTTTTTGTGAACAGCTGTATCCCTGTTGAGTTGTCCCTGCAAACACCAGCCACACCTGCTTGTAGGAAACTCTGAAGATAAAGCTGGAACTATTGCTCTTATAATTTTGCTCAAACGTCATTGATAATGGTCAATATATTTACATTTCTGTTTTGAATTGGGCAACACATGCAGATGGACCGTGGCCACCGCATCCTCGATTGCCAGCTTTATTCTTGTTTTCCAGCCTGTGGGAAGTTATTTAACTTCAGCCAGCAAGCTCATAACTTGCCTTTATAAATGCTAAACCTCTTTTAGCTTGGAACAATCAATGTTTTATAAATATTAATTAACCCTCGCAGAATCCCTGTGCCTCATGTGCTCTGTTTTTTAACCTTAAAGAGAGAGGTTCAGACACAATGTGGTTAAGAGCCTTTTTTTGTGTGTGCAAAAGCCGTTTAAAAAGGAGAGGAAAAGGGGAAAAAAAGGAGTCTGCTGATTCCTAGTGAGGATTTGTCAATGACACAGCACACGTGCCGTTTCCGATGAAGACAGAGTGAGAAATTTGCCGGCCCAAGGTCACAGGGAAAATGAGTGGCAGACTAAGAAATAGAAACCATGAATCTTTACTATCTTTTTCTCCCTGTTTTAACTACTGACCAAGCACTCCCTTCAGCATGTACAGTTTGAAAGAGACACTGTACAAGGGCTCTTTTTTAAAGAAAAGGTAACATTATAGAGCTTGTTTAAGAAAATGAGAGATTGTGTGAGGATTTGCGTGTCGAGGTCCCCAAGCCACCCCCCAAATAACTTACATCACACACATTATTTTTGTTTAAGGTTTTTGGCAAAATTTTGGCCACAACTTTATTGAAATACATAAACGTGAGTGGTTGTTTAAGCATTGGTTAAGACTATCTGTCCCCCCCCCTCCTGGGGACAGAACTGACTTCCGGGCACCACCGAAAGCCAGTAAGGGAAAACAATATCTGGGAGAAATGGAGCTGAGTCA